AGGTCACAACATAATGTAGTCATGTTTTAAAGTGGAGAAATATCCATCTTGTATCCTAAGACTGTCACTGTGGTAACATTCTATTATGAATTCCGACCCCAAGGGGTAGTATTTAGCCCCTGTCTGACCTTCCCCGACTAATTAGATCTCTGTAAGAATGTGTAAGAAGATTAAACAGTAAATGTTTTGTCTTCTTTTTAAATGTGTCTTGATTTAAAGAAAGGGATCAACATTTTCAGACATTGATCTGTGGTTTTAAAAGGTTAACAGCTTCTGTTAGATTTACATACATGTATATCCGAGTTGTTCATTTTCTGACCAATTTAAACATTAATGAGAGAAAAATAAAAAGAAAACTTGATAAAGTAGTGCACTCTATACTATTGGCAAAATCATGCTTGGACGGGCCAAAATAACCGAGGTAATTAAAGGTATATGCAGTGTTGAAGATATGTAAATTGACCAGTGAAATGACCATGGCCACTTACCTCCAGCAGGAATTAGGTCCTCGGGACACATTGCTGGCCCCACCACCAACAAAATGTACAGGGTATTCCATAATTCAGGACATTATAGTTAACCTTGCAAAACCCTCCATGACAAACATCAACAAAACCCAACTATCATCCACATCATATCATCTTTACAGTCCTGCTGAATTAATTTCCAATCTGTCAACAATTCAACCAGATCCAATGATCCTTACGAAAGATTTACGAAAGTTTTCAACGAAAAAAACACACCCCATCCGTCTGACAGGGGGCATCAAATTAACGTCCTGAACTGTCCTGTGTGGTGTCTAGTGCAGCAAAATGTTTTTCTGACACAAGCCCTTGTTTTGACAAATAGCTGTGATACACACTAGGTCCTGAACTGTCTTGACAAGTATAGAGTCACATTCCTTAGGACTTCCCTACAGGAAATAGGTAATGATTGACAGTCCACTCACCATGTAGATAAAGTTTACCTACATTATATATACCAGCATATATCTATATACCTAGACTGTTAAGAGAAAATTCACATGTGACCTGGTGTTTCATTGTTTAGCATAGGGCTGAGTAGCTTGGGGCCAGACTGTTCTACATATATAATACACACACCAAATATACTGGGCCTACTGTATACATACCTGGGCTTATCTATACATACTACACATATCTCAAGTTTTACATTACAAATTACCCTCTAAAAGGGCCTCAAAAACTAACAGATGAGTGTTGAATGTAGGTTACTAAAGACTGGCCTTCAATCAATATAACTCAACACATGAGGGTCCAATTGGGGCCATTGTCTAATTAAGAACTCATTATCATTGAAATGTATTAATAATCCAGGCATTCAAGGAGGCCTGGTATGGGGCTATTGTTCAATTAATCATCTACATCCTGTCTAACTTGGTAATTCAGTTTGATTGGCTGATAATCGCCCTACTTTGTAACAGACTTTGCGTATAAACTTGTTTGTTTTGATTTATTTACATACTTCAGGAATATCTACCTGTAAACAGGTGATAAAAATAACATTATCCTTATAGGCAAACTAAAACAGAAACAAAAATAAAATGAATTGTGGTTTTCAATGATGAATCTGAAATTATTTTATAATAAAAAAAAATGAAAATAAAAGCATTTCTCTGAATATCCTGCCCTAATCATCATAACTAGAAATACTGGTCATGACACATGTGCTGGAAATCCAGTGCAGTATGAAGTCACATGGAGTACTGATAGACGTGATATTTTACTGATGCAATTTTGAGTGGATTGGCAATAAACCAAGCAAGACTTCATTAATAAGGTGACATCACACTCTGCACGGAGATGGTACACTTTCCGTTTGGTTGTTAAATTCCCTTAAATCTGAAATCCTCACCATGTAGAACAGCCATTATGTCCGACATAAATCCAAAATTCTCAAATCCTGATTTATAAAAAACTTTCATCAAATTGCCACCACAAACTTTTGAAAAAAATGTGAAAAATTTACAAGTGAGCAGACGACAGTTGGCATCTGAAGGTTCCAGCTCAGATAACTTATACATTGTATATATGTGTGTGACATCATCTGGATGAAATTATAAAAACACTGAAAGCTAAAGGTGTGTGTCAAATGTGACACTATGAATATCTTAATCAGAAATTTGAGGGACAGGGAGGGGTGGGATAGGGCGATGGGGTAGGGTGAGGGGATGGGGCGAGGGGATGGGGCGATGTTGGGGTCAGACTCATTTAACACACTAACTTAAAAATATCTCCAAAACAAAACAAGAAACCAAAGATTTTTTACAACCATCTCGCTGAAACAATTTTTTTTATTTTGTGAATTGTTAAATGTGATTTTAAACTGATCATTATGACCTTCGTAACAAGTGACCTGAGACTTAACAGAAGTATGGTGTAGGAATACCCACTAGTAGGGTAAGGATAAAAACCAGGACTAACTTTCAAGTGATACGATTACTTCCATGTGCTCAAATATAATCTGCAGCCATTTTGATTTTTAAAAAGCAATTTTTCATGAAGTTCATAATGGTTTAGACTATACTGCATTAAGCCATCCCCAGAAAAGTCAATTTATAGGGAGAAACCACCAGATCAGATGAAGGATGACGATAATGATGATAGTGGTTGATGAAACTTTAAGATTGCCCATTAACTTAGCACAGCGTTGACGAGCCTACTGATAGACCAATAAATGTGATGATGACTGTACCATATAGGAAATATGACTCAGAGCTGGCAGTGTATCTCTTCACCAACTTAACAATTACTTAGGTCCGCTTTCACAGATACATCATTAAAATTGATTTTTACACCTTGTATGAAATTCCAGGACTAACTTTCAAGTGATACGATTACTTCCATGTGCTCAAATATAATCTGCAGCCATTTTGATTTTTAAAAAGCAATTTTTCATGAAGTTCATAATGGTTTAGACTATACTGCATTAAGCCATCCCCAGAAAAGTCAATTTATAGGGAGAAACCACCAGATCAGATGAAGGATGACGATAATGATGATAGTGGTTGATGAAACTTTAAGATTGCCCATTACCTTAGCACAGCGTTGACGAGCCTACTGATAGACCAATAAATGTGATGATGACTGTACCATATAGGAAATATGACTCAGAGCTGGCAGTGTATCTCTTCACCAACTTAACAATTACTTAGGTCCGCTTTCACAGATACATCATTAAAATTGATTTTTACACCTTGTATGAAATTCAGAAAGTAAGTTTTCAAAATAACGGCAAATTCAAACTACTCTAGTTTCTTATATCATTTTCATTAAAATAAAAAAAAAAATTTAAATATTTTAAGTGATATTAGTGATCTGTTTATTTTTTCTGGAAACATACAAAATTCAGGCCAGGATTTAAAAATATTTGAAACCTCAGGCCTATATCAATGTTATTGGAATCAGATGAAAGTCTATCAGGAAATCTAATTTGAAATATTATAAAGGGAGGTAACTCCTATATAAACTCTTCAAATATTGACTAGCTGTCCAGCTTTACAACTGTATCTGCTCGCAATCATGGAGAAATACTTGCTCAATAGCATATCTCTCACAAATCTCCACAGGTGAGAGGTTTTCTTTTACAGAAATTCATCTTTCACAAAGTGATTTGTTCCCATGAAGGGAATGACTTTCATATTTCATGATATACATAATGAAAAAAGAAAAACTGGTATATATTTCTTTAAATCATCAGATTTTTACTTCCATGATATTAATAAGTTCACATTTATCATATGTTCATTTATTTATTTTAAGTTATAATAAGTATAGCAGTTCTCAAGAAACACAGGTTATTGCCCTTGGGCTTGGTAAATGATTGAATCATGTTGAAGTCGGACACTTGAACTAGGGGCACTGAACTTATGGCAGTCCATCCTATAAACACATGTATAACTGATGAATGAAAGTGTTAATGAGCATCATGGACCTTTGGATGTAGTGTCAATTTTACTTAAAGTGGCTGAAACAAACACCCCATTGTCCTGGTTTATGTGTGGGTATAATGACCAGAAGTTGCCCATTAACACTATATGACACAGACAACATTTGTGCTTCTGCTACAATTATTTCACAACAGGCATGACCTTTGATTGTATAAAGGTCATGACATTTTGGTGTACATGGTCAACATGACATGCAGATGAGTGACTACAATATTGTTGATTATTTTCGTTCTAACAATATTTTATATCATTACAACTTGAGACTATGCTAAGTGACTTTTGAGACAGATGTATATATAAGGCATGCAAATACATTTGAGAATAGTTTCTAATTACAGAAATTTTCCAGAAATTCTTTTCTATCAAATAAGGATATTTATGACAATTAAACGTAACAAATAGGAATTGTACCAAATCTATAACTGATGCTTTAACATATCTGATCATTAGATAACAAACAGGGAACATTTAGTAATCTATATATTTAGTTGTCTATGATATAACAGGTGCTTGTCCTAAACAGTGGTGACTAATAATGGTCAGGTTTATATGTCTGGAATTATTTAAAGGCACCAGCGATGGTCACAATTTACAAGGACATTTATAAATAATCGTGGAAGGCGAGTCTACACGTGTGATATATGACATACAAACATTTACCTAACTCTGACTGGTTGATGATCTGTTACTTTGTAGAAATTTATTCTTTATTAAGTGAATTAACAAATTATAAAATAATAACTATGTTATATATCGTTATTCTAAATAAAGATCTTTTGAGTAGCACATGAAGTTTACAATGGGGTTCACTTGATTGAATTTAAAACAATTCTAGATGTCTTTTCTAGATTTTTCCTGCTAGATTTGGAAATGAAATGGTCAAATATTTCAATACTTTTCAAATGACAGTAAATGCTATTTGAGTAAAATCAAATCTGCTAGCAATTCTGGATTAAAAACAAAACAATAAACAGAAACCAATCTCAAGGTCACACACAAGGAAGGTCATACAAGGTCACACAAGACTTACCGATAATGAGAAGGGGGAGGGCAGCGAGTCTGTCTGTACATGTACCTCCTGCGAGCATAAATCAACTTACACATATGTATATCTGGGCCATAAATCTTTTCATCAGAAAATGAGCCAAATGTCTATGGTAGATGCTGAATTTTAAATTCCATGTCACACTTACTTGTTTATAAAACAAAGATTTGTAACAGAGTTTCAGAGAGGAAACATAAATGATAAAAGATATTGTGATAGGTATGGTGTTTTTAATCAAAATTTTCAGGTATTAAGATATGGTACTCTGATGACTTTTTGATGTGGAAGTATTTGAACTTTGACACCTGCAGAACCCCACAAAAAATGGGGGCACAAATCAGAAACTTACACATGTGTTGATGAACACCTCTCTTCTTTATATTCTTACACACATGTGTTGATGAACACCTTTCTTCTTTATATTCTTACACACATGTGTTGATGAACACCTTTCTTCTTTATATTCTTACACACATGTGTTGATGAACACCTCTCTTCTTTATATTCTTACACACATGTGTTGATGAACACCTCTCTTCTTTATATTCTTACACACACGTGTTGATGAACACCTCTCTTCTTTATATTCTTACACACATGTATTCTAATTGTTTTCACTTGTTCCTACCTGATTCACTACGTAGTTTAGTTTTATGACATAGATGTCATTAAGTTATTGAAACAGGTTTTGTTGTCAAAGAAAATGCATCGCTCAACAAACATCAATAACATTCACAGCATACAGAAAAAAAACAGAGAATTTTTAACCACAGCATCAAATAAAACTTTTGTAGCAGACTGTCAGACAATACATCATAATATCTCTCCCCATATACACAGTATTCTCTAAAAACATCGAAAATATTTTCTTTGTGTTTGCACTTCATACAAGCATATCATCGACCACTTCCAGCTGTATTTAAACCATATTAGTTACTCTGTACTGTCTCCAAAAAAAGACACAAAAAAGTTTTTTTTAAATCTCTGTGTGTTAATGTCTTTATACACTTTGGGAACCCCTGGGGTTCCTCATAAAAGTGTGACTGTTATTTTAACTACTTCAACATGCATGACTGACTTTGTATCAAAGGTGGGCAATAGGTCATCTGTTGCTATCTAGGTAAGGCATCAGGTATGCAAACATATCTATGAAATTGTCATCAGACAGAACTTATCAACCTTAATGAGACCAGCTAAGAATTTTATTGTGAACACTTCAAAACAATGACATACTAAGTGAAACACCTACAGTAATTAGTTATTTTTTTAACCATATTAATTACAATATATAAAAGTCATTCACATATTATATGGATTTCAACATTTAATTACAGTCAATCATTTTTGAGTCATAAGTGTTTTTTAATTAAATATCTATTAAGATTAATCTGACAGGGTATATTAAGATTTATTATTTTATCTGACTCAAAGAGTTTCCTGTACATGTCTAATCCTATTTTTTTTCTAATCTTTAAGGGGGCGGGAACGGATGGGGGGGTCTGAAGACTATATAGATAATATATATATAAATAAATATATAGATTTATATAAAGATATAATATTCAGACATAATAATGAATGAAGAAGAACCTCTTAATATTCATCATCAAAATAACAGACTTGTTTGAGGTTTTGTTATTTTTTAATTGAGAAAATAAGATTAAGACCATTGGAGTTACCTCCCTTAGTCCATAAGAAGCACCATTCTTACCTTGAAGTTGGAGCATTTGTACTGTCTTCCCCTCTTTGCTGAGACTGAAAACAGCAAAAGTAAAGGTAAATAATATGATAACAAGTCTAACTTAGAAAACTAGAACAACAGAGTAGAACTTTTTAATTTGTAATGTTAATTGCTCTATGGTATGACTGACTGTCACTTTCATCATCCAGAAAAAGCCAACTATGAAATAGAAACTATGCTGACTTCTTGAATGATAGAAGAATTTGCCATCAAGTACTTGATTTGAATCAAATCATATTTATAACTATTCAATTCACAATAAACCTGAAAAGAACTGCATATTTATAGTGTTTTACAGTAGAGCTGTGTTAGGAGACTGTCTGTCACTGAAATCCCTTAATAAGTCGTGATATGTCTACAATCTATTAAAATCTATAACAAAAATATCTGCCAAGCCATATTTACATACAGGGAAGGGTGACAACTTACCAGATCTTGTGTCGTGCCCACATCTGTGGAATCAGATTTGCTTCGTTTGTGGGCCTCCATGTCTATATCCTGTTGTTTAGAAGCCTCTGTTATGGGTGTCACCGCGTATGGATCCACCAAACTGATATCAGAGCTAATGGAGTGGGGTCGTTTGGATCCATCTTGTGCCTGAGACCGAATCTTACTCCATTCCGTTTGTGGATGAGGTTGTGAAGGACGACTCATATGCACATAATCTGATGAATCTCGAGACGTAATAGACCTGGACCTTCGTAAACTTTCCTGTCGTCTTGCATATTTTTCTCTGAAAGACTGGGTTGGGGTAAGTTTTGGAGAAGATCTGTCCTGTGAAGAAGAATGAGCTATTTTTGGCTCTTCAGGTGTTGTTGCTGGTGTGTCATCACTATCTGATAGCCTCTTTCCAGTTTTCCTTTCCATGAAATCCTGAACAGCATTACGCTGTTTTTGTTTCTCATTTATATAACTGTCACTTCTTCTGTTCATGTCTATTTGGGACTGTGACACTGAAGAAGAAATAGCACTGCTTGTATGAGAATCCACAATCTTTTTCACTTCCGTGTCAGATTCAGGATTTAAATCCATTTGTGAAGTTGATGGTGATTGAAAGTTTTGGCTATTAAGGTCACTTTGAGACTGTGTTGGAGATTGCACTGGTTTTTGCCATGTGTCTGATTTGGAATGTTTCATAGCACTGTGGTACCCAGGATGTGAATCTCTGTTCGGAAGTGGTGGTCTAATTTCATCAAAGCCATGACCAGACAGAGGACGGATTTGTTCTGATGTAGTCCTTTTTAAGTTTGATCTTTCGATCAATTCAGGATTTAAGTTTTTCTCCATTTTCAATGGATCAATATTTGCATAATTTGATTCCTCTGAAACTGAACTTGTTGTATTTAGGTGAAGTGATCTGGACTTGCTGACAACATCAGCCCAGCGTCCTTCCGAAGAATCCTCACGGATTTGACCAAGTGAAGGTCGATTTTGGTTATTATTCATCTGCATATAGTCACCAGAATATGATCTAGACTTGCCATGTACTATCTGTCTCCCAGATGACTTTTGTCCAGGCTCCTCAAACTTTCGAGAAGCCTCATCATAAGTCCCATATGCAAGTTTCATGGAAGTATTTCGCCCTATACTACGTCGAGATGGAGCACTTCCGCTATCTGACATTTGTGACATATTTGGTGAACTGACATCCGATTGTTTAAAGTTTGGAGATGTTGTAACATCTGGATCAAGAAACACTGAATCAGAGTCCTGTTGACTTGTACGATGTTGACCTTGACCTTGCAACATTTGTACGCCAGGTGAATTTAATGATCCATGATACGAACTGGCAGATGACCTCGTTTCTGATCCATGTCTTGAGGACGATGAGGAGGAGTTTGAACTTCTGTGCGTGGGACGTAAATACTGCCCCTCAGAGACGGAGTCCGCTTTACTGTGTTTTGGAGCTAAAGATGACATGCTCATACTGTGCATCCTCTGATTTGCATAAGTCGACTGCAAATTGGCATCAGAACTATATCGTGTATCCTGTAGACTTTTTTTGTTTGGCAGAATCTTTTGAGAAAAAGATGAATCCATACTATACCTTCCCTTGTGTCCACCGACTCTGGAGTCTGAAGGATTGAACAATCGTCTATCTAACTCCATCTTACTCGAGTCTATCCGACCTTGACCTTCATGCTCTGAATCTTGATAGTCTTTTCCAAATGGATGTGACGTTTCATTTGGATGTATCACAATACTGTTGTAAGATTCTGCTTCACGCATTCCGAGAAATTGGCCAAACGAGTGAGGGGGTATATCAGATCCCGGACTCGTGGCGCTTACTGTGAATACACCAGAATCACCAGATAAACGCTTATCACCACCTTGCATTCGTCCACTCATGTATTCTTGTGAAAGTTTGCGAATCATCGGAGCATAATTTTGTGAATCCTCTTCAGAAAAATTGTCTTTACTTTCACTGGAATTGCGACCTTTCTTTGTATCCTCTTTTAAACCTTGCATATATTTTGTTCCAAAATTAGAAGCTGCACTCCTATTAGTTTCATTTCTTGTGTCTTTATCAGATAAATGAGCCTGGATTGATTTCTCCTGCAGAACCGTATCTTTGTCCTGGATTTTAGAAGTCACATGAACATTAGTCCGACTCCCTTGAGAGTTTGTATCAGTTTGTGTTCCTGTGTTATAGTAAAGCATATGCTTCACAATGACACCACGAGGACTTGACACTTGCTGGAGATTTTCTGATGGCCTATCCTTGCTCTCGCTCACAGAAGGAGAGCTAAATGAAGGATAATTTGATTCCATTGGACTTTGTAATGGACTGGTACTAGAATCAACTCTTGACACAGAACTAGCACTTTGTGATTGGGAAGTGGTATGGCCAGTAGAGGAAGGACGGAATCCTTTACTTTTGGTATCCTTACTTTCATGCACAGAATCAGTTACCCTTGAAGGGTCAAAGTTCAAATATTTCCCACTACGTGGATGCAAACCTGAACTTTCAGAATGAGGTGCCATCATTGTTGCTAGTTTTTCCTGTAATAATTTTGTATCGGGAGCAGGATTGTCCCGTTCTGGTGGTGAAGGTATGCTATATTTAGCATCGCCAATTCTGTTTCCATCCTGATCTAACAAAGGCTTTGGATATCCAGGTGAGTTATTAAGGAAGAAATTGTCTACAGATTTATTATTTTGTTTAGTATTTATTTTTTGGTTTTGATTCCAGCTTTGCTGAATTTCCTGTGGGGTGGGACGCTTGACACTAAGTCCTTTAAAACTGTTCGGTTTATTAAATCCTGGGTCACTCTGATTCCTTTTGTTATCCTCACCATTTTTCCTGTCCGAATCATTTGCTCCCTCGTTAACAGGCTTTAATTGTGGTTGATAAGATTGACCGTCTGCTGTAGAACTGTCACCTCCATGGGGTTTGTCTCTCACTGGCCAGGCTCCGACCTGTGATGTGATTGCCTCCCCTGCTTCCATATCCATATTTGGATGTGTCACAGGCCACGAAGGGTACTTTTCATGATTTTTTGAGGAAGCTTGTACATATTTTAGACTGGACATATCTCTTCGAGGAGGAGGTGGAGGAGAGGATGGTGAGTGACCATCAGGTTGTTTCGACAGTGGATTATTGCCCTCCTCTTCCTCCTTGTGGGGTAACATTCCGTAAGAATGCGAATTAGTCCGTAAATCCTTCAGATTCTGATAATCATTCAGCTGTGGTGGAAGTGATCGTCGCTCATACTTCTTTGATGATGACACAGGTGTTTTAATCACAGAAATGTCATCGTTTATGTACATACTTGATCCATGTTGAGGCTGATGTGGAGAAGGTCTTGAATTGTATGAGTAGCTTCCCTTATTCAAGTGATCGCCATAACCACTACTCGATTTGGTATAGGTTAAATTTGTTGGGCGATTAGGGAATTTTGGCATATAGTTTGTGGAATTTGTAGGACTACGTGGTGTGCTCGTGGTTGCATAACCCTCATTTAGGTCCACACCCTGTTTTGTCATGGCTGGGGAAGAGGAAGGCACCACGTGACTGTTGCTAGATGGAGTTCCATGTCCGTAGCCACCCTTCCAATGGTCGCCTGTGTTTATACTGGGTGAGGACATGGCAGGAGACAGATGTCCAGAAGGATACTGATTGTGACCTTGAAAAACTTGGTTCACATTGTTGCTAGGGGCGACAGAGGTTGTGACCTGTTGACCTTGAAGCTGTTGTTGTTGTAATAAGAGTTGGCGCTGATGTTTCTGAGTCAGGTCTTCCACCGTCGCCCATCCCTTTAATTTTGCTGCTGTTGCTGATTCCATGTCCTGTTCAGAGTTATCTCCCTTGACATTTTGATTGACATTACTTAAAGATTGTCCCTGTTGATTGCCTGGGAGATTTTGGTTAGAGACAGGACTCTGTTGATGGGGAATAGAATAATGTGGACTTTGTGGTTGTTGAGGACTTTGTTGTTGGGCACTTTGTTGTTTGTTGTTGTCATGTGGTGACGAATGGACAGAATTTGAGGACGTACTTGAACTAGATGAATTATTCTTCAGTCTACGTGTCCCACTGAAAAATACAAACAAAACACATCATTAGAATGAGTAATTTATAAAAATGCATTATTGAACCCATTTTCTATCTCCCTCTGGACATCAACCAAACAATTAGTTATATGTTGTTTTTGATTTGACAGGGAAGGTGTCAAACCTAGAAATGGTACCAGGGCATTCTACCTGTATACAGGTGTCAGAAAGTAACATCCTCAGGTCCTATCCACCTTTTAACCATATTCAACATTGCAGCATATTATTTACATCAAGCTACCCCTGTAGGCATTTCACCGACATAGAATAATCTACCTGATTCAAGGAATATACAGTCAGATATGTGGAAAGTTAGAAATCTTAAACAACAAAAATCTAATATTTCTCTCAGCAAATGGATACTGATGATAAAATGCTGCACTTGTTTGAGACATAAAACTGCTGTATCTTATGAATGTTGTTACCAGTATGAACATAGCTGAAGTGTACATCAGAAGATTACAAGCTTTCACCAGGAAACAAACTGAACAGAGCAGCAATGATTTGTGAATAATAAATACACTATCTGCCTACAAACACCACAACAACGTCAAATGTCAAATACTGGTATGTGTCCTCCAGGAAGGTAGTTGTGTCTGTAATTAACATTATTCCTACTCCTAATTTGAGACATCATTATGAAGACATTTTACCTGTTTTCCAGGGAACACGCCACATAACAGATATACATCTGTGTAACACTTAAACATCAGAGTCTTGTACAATTGTGTGTGTTAGCCACAAATAGCGGAGCAGGAGTTGTACACAAGGATCACTACCGCCCACAACAAACATGATCACGCTATCATTAAGAACCAATATAACCTTCATCTAATGATCAACATACACAGCCGCAGAGTTATCCACCTTGTCCTACATAAGTCACGAAGGTCGGAAGTCAAGCCACGATGTCATGAGCTTGCCACCAGAAACATATATATGAAGGAAATAATGATTACCAATCACCTGCGCAGGTTTGAACCAAAACAGTATACAGCAGAGTTATGTAACCAGAGGCCAAGACCTCGATAAAAAAACTAACGACCATCACAGGCATCACGGCTTTGTAGGCCCGAGGCACTGACTAGTCCCAGCCAATGGGAGATCAGGATGGTAGCAGGGAGACCCTGTGTCACCATTTCTATCCTCATATGTCAAATAAGCCTTGATCATTAATAAAAATCAGACTGTAGGTAAAAGGTAGATAGGAGATGGAGACTCCCTGTCACCAAGCGTATATATACAATCAATAAATCCATATGTCCTTTTATTATCCATTTGATCAGTTCAACAATCTATAGAAATTAATATAATGACATTCTTTCAATCAAGACACAATTCTTATCAAATCCCTATTTTACTGACACATTGTCATATTTCACCTACACCACTACTTCCCCACATTATCAATATTTTTTTTTCTTAAATAATAAATTCACAAACATTGCCAAATATAACTCAGTGATCCCACTAACGCAAGTAAAGAGAATTCTGACATGACATTTTTATCAAATTTTAAAGAAGATCTAAAATTTCTTTGAAAAAAAAATTTAATCATTTAGAATATTTTACTGTGAAGAAATATATTCCATGAATTCTAGGGTTTGAAAATTCAACAATCTTACATTGGAAGTACTTTAATACTGAATAAACAATTCTTCTAGAATCAATATTAGTCATGGTACAGAAAATCGTGACCACCTTGCTATGTTCTCCATCGTAAGTACAACAATATCATTATTATGCAAGCTGATATGAGTGAACAGAGGCGTCAAAACTCTGACAATTTATCTAGCGGCAAATATCAGGTGGTTTGTGGAATGTAGATATAAACTAACAAAATACCAATACCGGTTCATTATCAGTTTGATTAGTGGTGTGAAACCTTCAAAGGTAAGCTGGCCAATCAGTGATAAGATAAAATTATCATGTTACTCAACACACACATAATGCAGTACGTATGTCTCAGGTGAACCTACCATCTGAATTCTATGACATAACTTAGTATGGAGTTCATATTTGTCTAAAATTTAAAGTAAATACACAAAACCAATAAAATCACAGAGGACAAAAATATCAATATCATTCAATGTTACATCAAATATTTCCACAGAGATGGTGTAATTCAGTAACAACTAGTGCAGTGTTATCAAACTTTGGAATTCTATATACATTGATAACATTTAAACCCAGGGTATTACAACTGTTTAGAATAACAGATTTACCATCACCACCTTTCTTCACACTTAAAATATCCTACTTTCTTATATAAAATATTAATTCAAACTCCGTAACTACTCCAACCAAACACAGATCAATACCAAATCAATCCATTTGTCCCGAAAACATTCCAATAAGTAACCTGGTCATTGTCGCCTCTACAGAGTACCTACCTTCCTGATCAAGAGCTTCTCTGATACAATTATTTTCACCGAAATGTTTGGAACGGATTATGATCACAGAAGTAACAGGCCAGGTGTTCTGTCTCCCGATGACTCTTTTGGCCTTTATGAATAATTTACCTGACCTTAATCACCGAATAAATTAACAATGTATAGGTGCTAAATCAGGGTCATCCTTGTGTACATGGACAGTCATGTGTGTTCATGTCATATGGCTCATTAACGTACATAAAATCAGGAATGTCGGTGTGAACTCATTAATTATCAATTAGACTCCAATACCCAAGGCTCATGTACTTACTAAATGAAATAGTGACAGATTTTCTCTTTGAAAATATGATGGAATATCCCGTTCTCCCATGCTGACAAAACTAAGTCTTCAGTAAGTAATGCTATTTCTACAATCAGATATGTTCGTTTCTGGATGAAATTATTGAAAACACAAAGAACAAAACATAAATATTCTCAACTACCTGTAGGAATTAAGTCACTTAATTCAGTTAGAGAGAAATACTTACCCAACTCATCATCTTATCTGTGATGTTGTCAAATGAAACCGATTCAAAAATTACAAATCAAGGTTCCAAAAATAGAACTCCTACAAGGATCAGAATAGACTTTTTTATGTACCAGTACTGTATTTCTTTTTCATGAAGAAAAACGCAGAATAAAAGATGAAAAAATTAAAAATTAATTATTATTACCTGTTGTACTTCATCACTGACAATTCGGTCTGACCAATTAAACTGTATCACCTATTGTTTAAAGCTGTATCCATTTGTGGTCAATCCACAGACTGACCACTGATAAACTCACCACTGAAGTGACCAAAAGCCCTGAATATAAGTAGTGGTTTTTGAGGTTAAGGTATATTGTAATATTGTATACCTACATGTAGATATAACTTGTGTAACCACTGACCACAATGTGTGTACAGGGTTCATCAGGTCTCCAGCCACTAGTCTACAGAAAACTTTCAACAAACGACTGACAGATTACCTTACTAAGCTCATTATAGTTGACAATACAGAGTGTCTACAAGATTGTAGAAGTTACGGGTTTCTTGGTATAGAAGATTAAGAACGATCAACCCACATGCTGGCTCCCTGCTATTAGGTGCACTCAATTTCTTTTTTGAGAACGCAAAAACGAACCCAATGACCCCATTAATAAAACTACATCTTGTAATTAAACATTATCCCCCTCAATGATTTGAATGTTGTAGAACATACCAGAGAGTCAACAAACACACCTCTGTAGTGTGTCCAGCTGCCAAACGTTTTAACAGGTTGTATCCTTACAAGAGATACTGGGAAGCTAATTCATTGGAGTATTTTCACCTTGATAACTGTCCATATGTCAACATTTATGGATGAATGAGTCCATTTCATATTTGTAAATAAATAATAACAGCTCTGGACATTGTGTTCTATAAACTATTTTCTCCCTGAAGACTTATAAAGGAAATGTCAGTGTCAATTCGGAGAGTTATTTCACCGTCTATCATTACTGGTAATGAGCTGGTAAAACGTAAACAAATTCTTTATTGACATTGTTGAATAGCAAAAAATCGTATTCATTTGTCCATCATCAGGTTCAAGTTTTGAAATGGTCAACCAGGACAGTTCAATCAAAAACTGTCAAGGTTAATTGAAACACCACAAAGTGATATGGTGCTGAATTTTTAATTAAAAATATCATTGGCAAGATCTTTTAAATTGAAAAATATCTCAGATTTTGTTTGAAAATCAGATTTATAAAAGAGTTAATTTTGAGTAAATCATCGGAGAGGACAATAATGTACAGATGAGATAGGAAAGCTTCCACTAAAATAATCTGAAACTTTACAAGGTCTACTTACATGTATTGGTTTCCAGTCCTTTTGCAAAACGTTCAATTTTTGACCAACAAATAAACCATTCAAAATAAAGTCCACAACCTTCCTGTCAAAAGTCAAATCACAAAAACCATCTGGCTTATGGTGGTTGGATGTCTAGAACGACAGAATGACCGCTTGATATTCTGATCAATACAACACTTTTTACTGTAGGTTCCAATTTCACACCCTGGTCATCCCTCTGTCCAGCCCTGGTTGCCATGACAAAAGGAAGGTCACGCCCTCACAACAATTTACTTACATATCACACACCATAAACCATAATTCTCTGGTCAAATCGGAGTCCAATAAAAGTGACATTAATTTTTTGGTCATTTCAGGGGTTTGATTGTGTCCATTAATGTTTCAGTGTGACCTTTACTGTCACTGATGAAAACCAAATCTACCATGAACTTGATGAACCCAGGTGGTAACTTAATGTCTGCCATTAAACAGCCTGAATACCCAGATACATTTATCATGCGTATCAAATCAGGGACTTCAACATCAAATTTCTAACATCTAAATTAACTCCTGTGGTGAAATAAATGTATTTTCTACATAACTTCTCTGACTTGAATGCCTACAAATGTAAGCAAGGTCGAAATCACTGATGCTATGTCTGTTTCCAATAGATAGTGTAGCCTACAAAACGTTGATTGCATTAATTTTATCTAACTGGACTAGTTCAATTTCTGAATCTTT